TCCGGTGGAATCTGGTTCGGAACTCAGCACAAGGGTGAATGAGGGAGCAAGCAGCAGTGGCATTGGAGGCTATGGGCAGCGGCTTCGTGGCCATCAACAGCGAGGAGAAGTTGAAGGCTCGGGGACGTCTGGAGATTCCCGAGAGCTTTCCTTGGTGAGTGAAGAGATTGATCGAGGGTGGGACTATGACCGGACCTGGAGGACATGATGGAACCACGTTGGAGGATGATGTGCGGGATGATTGGCTGGCGTTCATGCGGGACTTGACAGTCGACACAGGGTCGCCTGGAAGGATCCAGCCACTGGAGAGCGAAGAGAGTAGTGCAGAACGACCTGACTGGAGGAGAAATCTGGCCAGTGAGGATGAAGAACCGCCAACCTTGGACGAGATGACAGCCCGGGGATGGAGGGTGGTGCGAAGCAACTTGGCACCCCCGAATCGAGAAATCTACAGGGGGCCTGATCCGGTGCCACCGCCGGATGAGAACCCAGATCAGGAGACACCGACCTGGATGGGTGTGTCCACGCAGATGCCAGTGAGGCCTAGGTCAACTGACCCTTGGGAGCCGCGACGCGGTTTTTTCTGGAACCTCAAGGGTTCGAGAGGACTCAAGTGAGTCTGATGAAGGCTTTGAGATCCGCGGAGGGTAGAAGAAAAAACCTACCCAAAGCGAAGTGACTTCCCAGAAGTCAGGGGGAGTGTGGATCGAACATTCCACTCCGAATTTCGATAGGTGCACAAATCAGAAGTGTACCTTTTGACCCTGTCTGGGCTTTGGCTCAAGAAAAAGGTCCGACGGGCTGGACCGACTGATCTCGTAACCACAGATTTAAACTCAATATCAATAAGTTTTGGAACTAATTGATTAGAATTATATAGAATCAATATCCGATGCCCAGGGTACTTAAAGGCCTATATTCCTTTTCAAATTTCAATCGAATTTTCAATGTGTGTTCAATCTAATGTTCAATCGACAAGAACATGCCTCCACTTGAAAAAGTATCATAAAATTCAAGTTTCAATCGACACTTGAAATGTTGTTTTTTATTTTCAATCGTGCACTTGATTTTTTTCAATCGAGGATGCTCTCGGTTTCTATCCACCGACGAACACCTCCCCCGCCGCCGCGATGTTTCGGGCGGCTGCTGGCTCTTCTCTCTCTGCAGAGGATGTTTCGGGACGTTTCTCCTTCGTTTCAGCCTGACCAACAAAGGTTGACGGTTGAATGACTCTACAGACTGTCCCATAGGTACCCCAGTAGGGTCCTATAAGGTCATTTAACCTCTCTTGGGAATTCACACATGGCTGGGTCTTGGAGAACCACTTGGCTGGGTGGTAACTCCTCCAAGAAACAGGGACCTGAAGAATCCCCAAGTATGCCGTATGCCTCATCTCAGCTGTGATCTCACCGGGGGTCTATAAGGGCTTCAAAGGAACAATCTATAGTTTTTAGGTTGCACGTAGTGATATATTTTGTTTTGTGTGTGTTTTTTTGTTTACTTGACATCTCTCTTCTCCCTCTGTTATTGCACGAAAACAACATCTGGCTCATGCTTCCGCGGACCTTCCGCGCCAAGGACTTCTTGCAGCTGCAAGATGACCAACGCACCATGTTTCCAGCCATGGCGCACCGGTGATTCTTTGTTCCTCCGCTTGGCGCGGCGCGCGGATCAATGGTCAATTGAAGGCTCTACACTCCAGGCAGTCTTGTATGAAAGCACCGATTCCAAACCTACGCCACATACTGGTATCTAAGATCTGTGTGTTGTGAAGCATGAAAATAAAACTGTCCCTCTGACTTGCACATGTGCGCGCTTAATAAGGATTGATCATGTCGTGACCCCATGCTACTACCTGCTTGGGACCGCAATGCTATCGACCAGCCTTTCGCATCGTGACTCGGAAAAACAATGAAAACCATGTTTAAGTTCCTCCTCCTGCTCCATGGTCATATCCTGTTTGGGATTTCCAAGTCAAGTCTTCCAAACACATCTCCTGCGACAGATGTGTTGTCTTTCTCGCCGAATTCGGCGGACCAAACACACGATGCAGCGGGTATCGGGCCCGGACATGGCCGGTGGAATGGGTGACCCATTCGCCAAGGGAAAGCAACTGATGAGGTGAAAAGAACGCAAGAACCAGGAGTCACATGGAGTTGGGTGGTTTCAAGACCCATCCAGTGAGTGGATCATGGGGACCCCAATAAGATCCAATAAGCACCCCTTTGTGACTCCTGGAAGATCTTCTTCCTTTTCTGATTTTTCGACCGGAACACCCAAGACGTCAAACATCCATCGCCCCATTCCCGTCCCGCCCGGCCTTCCCACGTCGACCTTTTGATATCGGTCGCACCGCGACAGGTCGCACCGTATCGCGACAAGTCTGGATCGATTGATGCGCATGGCACACAGAGAGGCGCAGGGGCTCCGTGCGCGCCTGGGGTGACCTGCGCAGAGTGATGGATAGCAAGGGCTCGGCCACTGCTTGATCTAACTCTTTGCGGTCACAAGGTGCGCTTGTCACGGAGCTGGAAGCTATCTGTCGGGAACATCTTTGCCATATTGTATAATTATGCTGCTTATTATTATAAAAGCAATCTGAGTGCTTCCCTGAATCCAGGCTGTATATGATCAATGCAGTATCGCATGAATATGGTGTGCCATGAAGGAACTCTAGCTTGTTAAGCCACTGGAATAGAGCTCGAAAATGCTCACTTTCTCTTCGACTGACCAGAATCGCACTGGATGCAACATTGGCCACATCATCCACGTCACACGTGGGGAATCCTTTCACCCTTTCAAAACTCGGATCTGGAAAGGCAGTCTCAGTCTCACAGAGCTAATGGAAACCTGAGATGACTGCGGCGTTTTGTTGCTTCTCTTGTAAATCTTATAATTTGTATCTCCCGATCGCGCTCAATCAGCTGCCCGCTCGTAGATGCAAGAGCAAAGAGCCACTTTTTATAGGGTGTGCGCAGCATCATTGCATCACCGGACGTGCCGTGTGTTCCCTCGTCCAATTCCCAAACACTCCATGGGACTGCCATATATGCCGATCAGTTGGGGTGGTTTTTGGGGGTCATGGGGCGGCATATATGGCAGTCCCATGGAGTGTCTGGGATTGCAGAGTCCAATTGCCGTTTTCGTTGGAAGAGTAGTCCTGGACCTGTGTGCAGTCGCCGCTCGGGGCAGGAAAACAGCTCCATGATGGCGCTTTATTAGCGGGCGCCCGTAGCGAGACCGGCCTCATCTTCACCTCCAAAGGCACGTTTTCCACAGAACATGATCCACATCGCTGCCTTCAGCTCCGTTTCACGGCCTGAGTGGAATACCAGTTTTGAGGAACAGGAACCCCCATCTCATTTAGATGTCTTTACTAGCAAATCACAGGTTGGACATAGGCCCCTATTTTCCGGCCCAAGCAACGCCATGACTGTGCAAGGATTTCTTCGTCAGAGTCAGGCGTGGCATGAACTGAGCAACCCAAGGCCTTCAAGAGGAGCTCATGTGATTCTCGTAGCATCAGTCTGCAGGTCTTACCAAGAGAGGTTTTATAACTTTATGGGACACTAATGAGGTACCCATGGGATAGTCTATAGGCTCCTTCCGGTTCTTCAACGTCTGTTGGCAGTCTCTCCTACAAATCGAGTTGTTCTTCCGTGTCTTTCCTGCTGGCGATTGAACGGCTGATGCACTAAACGATCGTATATAGTGTTTGGCAACATCTTCCGAACAACTTCACCGACTTCATTGCTGCAGCTGTCCAGCTGTGAGTGTGCATGTTCAAAACAGGCGCTGTAGGGTGGCCATGAAGACTGAATACTCAAAGGACTACATCTCCCCGCCCCATAGTTCCAAGTACCTTCTTTTCGGATGGTCATAGTGCAGAAGTGGCACTAAAATGTCATAACAAAAAGGACACCATTCCATAAGAATTGACAAACGATTGATACACGCCCTTGTTCCACACAAAACAAAATAAGAAATTGGCGGGGTTTTATGCCAGCAGTCACAAAGGGGTGGTGTTTAGTCCTCAAGTGAGTGGATAATGGGCACCCCTAACCTCCATTAAGCACCCCTTTGTGACTGCAGGTGGTTTTGACTTCTGTACGGTTGCTTTCGAAGAAGTTGAAAGGCAAACACTCACATTCAGTACCTGATGTTGTGGGGGGGGACTGCCATTGGTTCCAAACTGGGCGCCCTTAGAACTGCGGGGTATTGGTTCCAAACTGGCTACTCACAGGGTCCTACCCTAAAACCATGAAATCATGTCATGTTGACCTCATATTAATATATTGCCCGTGAATAATACTAAATCGTTTCAAAAACCAATAGCAATCAAATAATACTAGTTTTTCTGGACCCTGATTCTCAGCTGATTCCAAACCTTGATTCATCCAAGCTGATTCTGAGCTTTCAGCTGATTCCAAAATCTGATTATTTGGTGGTTTCCTTTACAATTCTTTTAGATTTCCTTTTGATTGAAAAGCTTTAGCTTTATTGAAGGCCATCCTTTCTGGATTTCTGATTTGGCAGCTGCATTGTCCTTTTAACATTGCCTATTTTGGCATAGCAATTTGCAACCTGAAATCAACCCACAAAGACCACCCCCCACAAGCAGCTCAAATCTTCAATTACTCCAGACCTCAAATAATACTAAACAATCCCTGGCCGGTTCTTTTCGTGGTTTCCTTTACAAGTCCTTTAGGTTTCCTTGTGGTTGAAAAGCTTTAGCTTTATTGAGGGCTATGGTTATTTAGGTTCAGCCCCTTTACAATTCCTTCAGCACTACTTACATTGATTGCTTTCATGTCCTTTCCTTTCATTTCATCGTCCTTTCAATTTCCTTCCCTTTCCTTTCATTGTCCTTTCATTTCTTTTCCGTTCCTTTCATTTCCTTTCCTTTCCTTTCATGTCCAATTCACATCAATATGTTCTAGGATATTTCTAGATTTCGCATTACTTGGGCCCGCACTTGATCAAGGGGCGGGTTATTAGGAGGTGGTTAAATAGGTGGACTGCATGGGGGACCTAAGGCATGACCTCGTCATCACTGGCGGTGAACGTCTCATCCAGTTGACGGTGAACGTCCCATCCGGTGGAAGGAGGCGTGACCAGCGGACCAGACTCCCGCGAAGTCGGGTGAGTCTGGAGGATTTTGGGAGGGTCGGATGCGTCAGATGAGTTGAACATGAGATGATTTGGTGCGTTGAATGGGAACTTCTGTGTACCTGTTGATTCGAACTTCAATGCCAAGCCTGCCCTTAGTAGTAGCGTGATATGCAATCCCATCATCAACAACATCAAAAAAACACATGTAAACACTAGCATCTGCAGTGGCAATCATTCGACAATCCCATAGGGCTCCAGAAGCCTCCGGGTGTTGGAGGTGAGTTCGTTTGAAACCAGAGAATGGTCTTTGCCTGGGGCCAAAGGACAATGGCCCTGGACCCTTAGAGGTTGTGCTACACTCATCCCTTCTCCCAGCCAACTCTCCATTTTGCGACCTTGCAGGTGAACAGGGACAGCGGACCGCTGAAATCACCAGCCGCTCTACGGCAGAGTCCGTATCAGGTCACTTGCAGTAGTACATTGGCGGATCAATGGCCTTCGAGGATTTGCCGCTGCAGCACATCCAGGTATTCTCCTTGCTGACTTTCCGGCCTGATTGGAGTGCCCAAAAACGCCGATAGCTAAAGCCCTTCAAGCAGCAGAAGAGTTGATCTGGGTATCCTCTGGCTGAGCTGAGATCTTCAAGTTCAGCGAAGATTTTTTTTGGCTGGCCCCCCCATCAATGAACCGGCTTTCTGAAACAAAAAGCCGCTCGTTTTGGAGGATCCAGGCTGTGAAATAGAAAGGACATAGACATAGATTCAGAAGGAAGCCGGAATTGAAGTAAAGCAAGAAAACAACAACATTGTGCTCACCATGTGTTAACACAAAAATCATGCGTAAGTAAACAAGAAGGTTTCATCGGCTGTCTACACATCGCTCGCTTTGCAGCTGCAGTGTAATCCCTCAGTCCTATATGTAAGGACTAAAAACACAGTGAGACCGCAAACACATAAGAACCAGGCCCCAGTCCTGGCTTCTGGTAGCACTTAATGTCCTTCTTCTTCACCATATCACGGTCTTCAAGCCAGCCCTTCTCTCCTTCATAGATGCCTGCTTGATGGTTTCACGCTGAAAACACCCGTGATCATCAAACTCCGCGTGCCATTGATAAGGGTGACCAAAATCAAAGGCTAAAAGTAGCTTCCCATAGTCCAAGCATCCCAACCATCCCCACGATCTACGCTACACATTTTGTGGCCCTATGGCCCGACTGCGATGAAACCAACACCATGGAGGACCATGGAGGCCCCAAGAGCGACAGAAAGACCTTACCCACCGAGATGCAATCGAAGGGTGATCCATCCTCCGCGAACTTGCACACGCCACGGCGAGGCGTCGTCCCGAACTCGGAGACTCCGGAAATACGCTCCTGGCCCTCCCGATCGTGGCGAAACGCCAGGGCCGGGAGCAGCAGGGCAAGGCGCAGGGCGCTGCGAAAGTCCATCGAGGAAATCCTGAGACTGGGACCCAGGTCGTGAAGACCAACATTTGGGCGGGTCCCAGATGTATATTTGGCGGGTCGCAGGACCTGGTTCAAAAGAAACATCAAACACTCAAGACATATATCAAAATGATTCATTTCCACCAAAACGAGCTTCGGGAAAAGCAGAATCCGCAAAACCAGGAATTGGAGAGCGCGAATGAAGATTCACAGTCCACGGATGGCGGGTCACGCGTCAAGGCGCACACTGAAGCTTGGGAAACAGCGGATGATTTGCTGCTTGAGCCCCGAATGAAGCCGGAGATGCACATATCCTGACTAAAACTGGTTTAATTAGAAGCTACTAGGAACATGTGCATCGCTACTAGGAGCAAGGGCGGTAAGGGCCTTACTAGTAGTAACAAGAAGCTATAGGCTATAGTAGAAACAAGAAGCTAGTAGATGCACATATCCTGACCAAGACTGCCAAACTGACAGAGCTGCACCTGACCGAGTTTTGGAGTCCGCACCGGGGGTTGGGGAACGGCTGGGGTCTAGGTCTCCGAGCGGCTGGGTGTCGGCCCGCCGGACCCGCGTTTCACATACGAATCAGATTGAGTGGTGGGTGTCGGCCCATCCGTTGGACCGTTGCAAAATCCATCTGAACCGGTTCGCTCCATAAACAGATTTGGAACAAGAAGCTACGAACGTAGCTCCTGGCCTTACTACTAGGAGCAAGGACGCTACTAGGGGCTCCTGGCATCGCTACGAACGGAGCATTCTTACTATACGTTCGTAACAAGAAGCTACGAACGGAGCAAAGGGCAACGCTACTAGTAGCAAATAGCTACTGTACTAGTTACTTATTCGTTGCTTCTTGCTACTATGTAGGAATGGCCTCCACCGAACCCAGTTGACTGATCTTCCACCGAACCCAGAAGGGACATCGACGGTTGCTGTGATAGGGGTCCCCTAGTATCGTAGGGTCCCGATCGTAGCGTCCGATCGCTCCGATCGTAGCGCACAAAAAACGCCAAAATGGCTCATCAGCCTTCCAGTTCCGTCTTCCCGTTGAGAGGGTCATCCCTAAACCGTCGCCAACCAAACACTTCCACTCTGTCTTCTGTAGTCCGTCCAGAGTGCCACAGCACACACATCAAAAAAAAAAAAGTTTCTGAAATTAATGTGGAAAATATGTGCAAATTGATGAAAATTGATGTTGTAAATTGACAATGGCTACAAACAAATGCCCCCTTTATTTGGTAAAAGCAGGAGAACGACTCAACATTTTGGCCTCATGCTTTTGATTCTGCTTTTGAAGTTGAAGCTCTAAAAGCAACAGGTCTCAGCACAGAAAACATAGTGCCACAACTGGTCCGAACCGCCGTTTTCTCATGGAGAAGAAGCAGGAAAGCCATTGCGCACGAAGGAGCTGTGGCTTTTTGGAAGTGGGGTCAGCCATATAGGGACCTTCGAGGGATTCCTATGAGAGATCCTAGGACTAAGCCAGGTCCGGACACCCAGATTGCAGGCGAGTAGGCCCGGTGGAGGAAGCATCAACCGATCCCCACGACGAGGCCCGTGTCGCTGGAGGAAGGCGGGCGGAGGTGCTCAAGGGATGTGTTCAAGCTGGGCATAGCTGGGCATTTCTGCATGGAATATGTTGGGCTCCTTGATGAGAGTTTAAGAGGATCAGGAGGCCCTGATGGCCCATCCTGGCGCGAGTTGGGTTTGTGAAGATCCGGTTGGTGTTCTCTATCTTCGATTCTCGTGCTGCAGCTTGCTCTCAAGTCGTCATACCTGCATCATACCGCTTTGTGGTGCGCTTCTTTGGACAAGCATCAACTCAAAAATGCTTTGGATCAGCTCTTGTTGTCTCGGCCACATACTATCTTAGTGTTTTTTTGTTCGAGAGATAAGAGATATGTGATGGACTTTCAAAAAACATCCCAGTGGCAAAAATCTACCGTGGCCAACGTGCTCACAAAAACACATGAAAGAACTTGGAATATGGATAGTTCCTGCACAGCAGCAACTATGATCAACTATGTTCAGCTAAGTCAATGCAAATTTCAGTACACAACTTGCAGGTGTTCTCACCCTCACCTGTTGTTCCAGTGCAAAGTGCCTGGTCTATGCAATCAATCGCTGGCTGGAGTTTCAAAGACCTCAGACCTGTCAAACTCCTCTCAAACATCCAATTCTCAGGATGGTGCTATCAACCTGACTGGCTCTTTTCCCCCGATGGGAGCCCAGAACACCGGCGACGAAGAGGGTCTCAAAGGTTACACCCCCCGCACAGTGAGCCCAAACGCAAGTATGCTGGCGCCAGCCGGGCTTGTCTACATGACTGGCGCGTTATTACCGGTGTAGCAGCGGGCACCATGGAGCGGTCAACAGCCGAGGCAACTGGTGTCAACACATGGCGACTGCCAACCAAGACAGGTTAAGTGACCTTATAGGACCCGTCACCTGGGGTATTTATGGGATAGTCTATATAGGGTCATTCAACCTCTGGAAGACATGGCGAGACATGGCGACCTCATTCTCAGTCTTGACCCCGCCCGTCGCTGCTTTTCAGAGCTTTTCTCTCCGAGATCGTCTCCAAAAAGGGCTCGAAACCGGGCCCCTTCATTTCCAGCCTTCGCATCGTTCCAGATACTCCATTGGGCCTGCCTACGCCGAGAAGCGGCCAGGGGTGGTTGGTCACGGAAGTCTTTCTGGGGCGGCGGAACGATGGCAGTCCCATGGAGTGTCTGGGTATCTTCAGGCATGCCATGCTGCCATTTGTTGGGACCTGCAAGTGGGTCCGCAGCCCCCCCATCGACGAGGGGAGCGTCCAGCTGAGGGAAGCGTGTCACTCGAGACCGTTCTTCACTCGGTGTCGAGCACGGGCCCAAGTGAACCGGAGTGTCATAAGAGGTTCTTGAGGTTCTTGACTTTATAGAACCCATCCGTGCGGTACCAACTGGGATAGCTTCAAGCTCAGGATCCTTCAACTCGCTAAGCAGAGAAGACGACCATTGACCGCGGTCCATGCCGCCCCGCTTGGTTTTCGTCCCAGCGGCTCAAACCAATCAACCCGGGGCAAAAGGCCGCCCCTGCGCCGGGCGACACGGCAACGTTTCAAGGACGAAGACCAAGAGAGGTTAAGTGACCGGGACCATAGGACCCGGAAGGCCTGGGGTACCCAACTGGGATAGTCTAGTTCGGGTCATTGAACCTCTGTTGAGAGGGCCGCAGGACACTGCACGCGTGTTCAACGGATCGAGGAGGCGTGCGAGACCTCAAGCCTCCGCTTCTGCTCTGATAGACCGAAGGTCGGATTGAAAAGCATCCCTTTTGGCGAGACGTATACCAGGACCTTACGTGACCTCTTTGATATCCCAGGACGTCACCTTTTTTGGTCTGCACAAGGTCACTTAGAGACTGTAAAGAATGGTGAGGCGTGATGTTCCCAATGAACCATATTCACCTGTTATTGGATGTGGCTTGCAGGGTTGGTCTAAATGTGACACGGTCACCAAGACCAAGGGGGACGAAGCTCTTGTCGGAAAGCAGGTTGGTCAGCAACTATAGACATCCGCTAAAATTCGATCACCCGGACCCAAACCCAGGTCTCAAGCTTTTCCATGCTCCATGTTCACCCAGGTCCTGCAAGACTTCGCCCCAAGTTCACCATCGAAGTCACTCTGCACCTCGGTTGACCTCTCAGCCGTTGTTCTCTCGCCACGCAAACCGTTCCCCGGTCTCCGGACCTGTCACCACGAAGTCACCTGGGGTACCTATAGACACTGCATGGGATTGGCGTATTTACCTACATTGACCCCTAAAACCATCCCTGTCTGTATGTAAATACGCCGTACAGGGAGCGCCTGGAAAAATGGGATAGTCGAACGTTCGGGTTCTTCAACGTCGGAAGTTGAAAGAACATACCTGGTCGAAGGAGAAGCGCGGCGAGCGCCATGCATCGCACATCAAGGCAAGTAGATTGAGGCGTCGAAGGTGGCAAATGGGCTCGTTTTGGGAATTGACAAAGTGTGGCACTATAAGTTTCATGCAGTGACAGGACCAGGGATGGTTTGATTTAGTGAACCTGATGAGGATGAGACCAAACTTCAAAATTAATGTTGGTCCTTTTTGATGTCCCTTGGGATCCAAGCTTGTCCTTTCCGCTGACTTTCCCTGGTTTCGAATGCAAGCACGGTGATTCCGATTCATGAATCAATCATGCAGGGAGCTCGTCGAAAAGGGTGCCAAAGCAAACGCGGTCGCAACATTTAGAGTCCAACCTGCTGTTTTTCTCAAGCTCTTCCAAAGCTCCCAGCCAACAACACCTGGGTGTGGTGTCAAACACGTCAAGGAGTCTAACACATTTGCTTGCCAAACCAATGGCCACGTTGGAACCTGCGAACCCACGAAGCGGTCAAGAAGCTTTCACTCGATGATCCGCGGCTTGAGAACGAGCGGCGGGAGAGGTTTCTGTACCTCTTCAGCCCCAAACCACCGACTTGTAGAATGATGAATAAAACCACAAAGACATGGATTGACCTCTGAAAAGCTTGGGGCATTGAAATTTCATCAAGAGTCTATACACAACGACCGTGTACACCGTGTACACCTACGATTGACCGAAGACGCGGAGCGCGCCCTCCGCTTCTTCTGCAGCATCCAGTCATGGTGACTGAAGATCCAGCCATTTTGTGGGCCAAACGAGGATGTCTCATCCCTAGCCCAAGACATGAAGCAAGTTCCATTCGACACAATCTTGAATCTTAAGTGTCTACATATGTCTACATCAAGGTACTCATTTTACTGGAGTTGACTATGCAAATACACTGCTCAAGGAGGTCAATAGACCAAGCGACCAAGTGTTACTGGCTCAGACTGGACTTGTATATGGGAATATACTACCCCCTTTAGCAACAACTTGTGAGGCCAGATCAAGCTAGCTGAAAGCTAGCCGGCCACGCTTCGTGGAAAAAAAGGCCCAAAAGGATCTCCTGCCACGAGTCGTTCTCAAAACACGGTCTTTTTCGACTGAGACTGGGCTCTTTCAGGGGAAAGAAGGCGCTCTCAAGGGCTTAAGAAGTGACCAGATGTGATGTGCAAAGATGAGATGCCACCCTTTTTCCATCCTCTACAGCGTCACTGCCGACAGCTGCGCGCTGTCGGACAGGTTTGTTCGTTGTGTTTCGTTGTCGGTTCGAAAGTCAACGGGTCGACAGAACTCACCAGTTCTGTCCAGCACCACCCGCTCTGGGTTTCAAGGGTCACTTGTATAGGACTCCAAAGTTTGGTCACTGTGAATGCAAGCTGGACTTGTTTTTGCTTGGAGGGAGGATATTGAAAGCGGTCCACATTCAAATCAAGCATGGCCTGGATGGTGGACAGCTGTCCAGCGTGGTCCAGAAACAAGCTTGGCGGAGCGGTCGGGCGAGTTCAATAGATCTTTCACTGCATATCATCCCTAGGGCTCTAAGTACCTCCTCAGAAGGTATGACTGGACCCTCTAAACCCTCCCCAGTCCCACCTTCTAAGAAGGTACGACTGGAGCC